TATTTAATTTATTTATAGTCAGAATTTTTCAATACATACACGTTTTATAAAAATAATAAAAACACATTCAAATAATATTACACACAGAATATTATGAATTGATTTATGGCTAGCTCAAAGTGAAAAATAATTATATTTAAATAATGTACATTTAATGATTTGGTATAGAAGGGATTACACTCCTATAGGAATCCATCGGCATACATGTCATTAGTATGTAGGTTTACGTTGTATAATAATGTATTTTTTTCACAATATACCAAGACTATAAAATGTCTAACTCATCATATTGGTGTTAATGTACTCTATCGACGATGTTAGACCCGTGCACGTCTAGTATTAATAAACATAATAACTAATAAGTGTAATCATTATTAAAACAAAGTTGTTGTTAACCTAATGAAAATATGAATTAGTGATTAAAATAATGGAAAAAATATAAAAATAAGATATTGAAATCATTTAGACGCAGATTGACACCTAAAACGAAATATGATTCCACCTGGTAAAACTTAATGCATCATTTATGTATAAATAAACATCAGTATAAAGTATTACTTTTAACTTAAGGGCCAACGATTTACATTTTGTCATCGTATAACAATCATACAATAATGTATTTTAAATATAGGTATTAGSTACTATAACTTTGTACGCAGCAGCCTGATAGTATTAATTAGACTTCATATTACGAAGAATGTTCATTCTATGAATCGGGGTCATATAATTTTTACTTTCTCGACGAAATTATTGCAATAATGCACTTACAGATAAATAAATTATAACAATTTTTAGCAATCTTACCATTAATTTAACAGAACTGTGTTTATGAAAAAAAAATATATACATATTCTGTTATTATTATGGGTTAAATAAAATGTATTTATTATACCAAAGTAGGCAGTTACTTTGAATCTTTGAATCAATTTTAGTTTTTTATATATTATTTTTTATATGTTTGTATTTTATAAAGATTTGTTGTCTTTTTGCATTGTAAAAATATTTAAATTTACAGTATCAAAAATTTGAATTCAGTTTTGAAACAATTTAAAGAAAAAATGTTGCTTAAGCTTTAAATTAAAATATAATTAGTATTAAGTAATATAAATATTTATAATATATATATAGATATACCATATACCTAGTGTTAATGTGACTATGACTAAAACAGTAAAACGTATAAAATGTGTTATAACAAATTTAACAATTATTGATAGCAGCTAGATACGTACTTAAAATTTCCATGATCAAGGGATAAGGATAATTATACAGACCTATATTATTATACTATTGGCACATCAAGTACAACTAAAATAAATTCTAAATAACGGAAGTAGAGTCGTACGAATAATCTGTGAATAATGTAAGTTACATAGATGTTTGATGACTAATCACGCACGTCTTACCTTGACTATAACCCTCGGGAAATGGGCGACGTGTTTCAGCGTACTGGAAAATGCGGCTCACAAATATAATAACATACTAATAATAAAATAGTGAATACTTTCTATATGATATCTGTATAAATATAATAATCCGTACAAGATTCGTTATGCTAGAATTAATCACATCGCACACAATACAGTAATATTAATCATACACGTTCGCGGAAAACGACATGAAAACTGTTTGATCAAGACTCGAACAGGAAACACTCCGCCATAGACGACCAGATTTTCTGAATCTAATTAACACACTCATTGCCGATGGCGCGGGCGGCGGGAACATGGCATGAACAATAACTCGTCGAGAATCATCGGAAGTTGAAAACCAAAATTCACCGGTACCGTAAACTATATATAGACGGCGGCCGTGATATAAATATTCTGTTACCACTCGTCTCAACCGTGGTATAATACGTGGTTTAGTTGTGAGTGAGCAACCATGGTTGTTATCCGCCGCGGCCAATTGAAAGCAGTCTAGAAAACGTGGTTGGGCGCTGATTGATATCTTTTTACGTTCGTCACGTAGTTCGAATCCCGATCAAATCGTTTTCACGTCGTCGTCTGCGAGTCCAGCATAATAAGATAAAATAATAAATTGTAAATAATGGTGTGCTGAGTAATTAAATCATAGAAGAACGAGTTTCGTACGTACTATCATAATTCATTATTTAATTGTATTTATAATTAATATGGTGTTATAAATTATAATATTTGCAAGCCTCATCATTTCCGGTACGGTAAAACGATTCATGCATTTCCCGAAGATTACAAACTGAATGTGGTGTGACWAGATAAGACGCATATAATGTCACCAATATTATTCACAGGTTCCTTGAAAGGATAGATAATTATGAATTCTCGTCTCTGACCGTTATATTGGAATTAATTTGAATTTATTGTATTTACATGGTAATACAATATAACTGGTATTCAACGATAAATGTGTAAAATCCATATAAAACCATAATTTTACAGTTGCGTGCCTAACATGCTACATGACATTTTAGTATCTAATTATAAAGTATTATTATGGATTATCATAAATTTATTTAACATGTTTACATTTTAATAACATTTTAGGTATTTAAAATTCAAGTTAAACTTCAATCAAATATTTAATCATAATATGCAATATTAGTCAGTTTTTATTGGATGTATCATATTTAATAGAATTTTATAAATGTATAATTTAGTATAAAAATGGGATAGAAATGAGCTTTAACCTTCTGTGTACATAATAAAAAATATTAAATAGAATATGCAAAAATATATACAGTTATTTTCGGATATAAGATAYGTTGTAAAAAACATTCTGTAGATATTATAATATAATTGAAGAAATCAAACAAATTAAACAAATAGAAAAATAAATTGCTAATTTCTAAATTTCAATAGGCATTGGCAACACGAGTAGAATCATGTGATTTTAGAAGAAATTATAGGAAAACTTATTCAATCTAGTCCTAAATTAT